TTTCATTCTCTTCAATTTATTAAATAGATGACCGAAATTGAGAGATGTATGGAAGATAAAAAGCAATGTGTGGATAGTACCACCTTAATATAATTGAAGGATTGAGAGAACAAAAATTCAGCACTTATTTCATAATTGTTGTAATTAAAGTCTCATGTTGGAGAACTACGCATGAATTTATAAGACTGAAAACAGAAAATAGTTAGACTAAAGACAGCCTTTCTTCTTCCCGATACTTCACTTCTTTCAACTCTACAAACAGAACCCCTTTCTCTGCTTCAGCGGTAGCCCACCCCATTTCTCATAGATTTCATCGACTGATCCCGTTATTTCACACCAATTTCATGGATTGCCCATATTATATTTATTACACATATTTTTATTATAATAAGACAAGGCATGGAAAGGTTTATGCCTCTCAACGCTACGCCTCATATTATGAGATAAAAATACCTCGACATACGCTTTCGCCTCTGAACATATTGGCATCAACTTATATAACTTCAAAATAAAATTGACGATAGGGATCAACTTTTATGATTCAACTAGGTTTAGCTGCATGTAAACAAGAGATACACCATATCTAAATTTACAACTTGTTTGTACCATATTTAGGGTCTCCGTATTTAGATTTCGTATAAATACTCAGGAAACTCAAATGTAATTATGTAACAAAAGAAGGGGCAAATATGTAATAAGTGAGGAGCCCTTATTCTATAAAAGGACTTCTCACTCTCCTCATTTGGAAGAGGCCAATTCTTAGGCTTGACCCCTCACCCTCTCAAAGCCTCTCATACTCTGAGATTCAGAGCTCTCATCCTCACAAAGAAACTCTCTCTATCCTCTTCAACATCTCAGAGAAATACAATATTAGTGTGGACGTAGCCTAAACATTGGGGTGAACCACGATACATCTTGTGTTCTTTACTTTCTTGCAGATTCACAGTCGGATTTACGTTGTTCTAAGATCCCTCCGGTTTTGTGCATCAACATTTGGCGCCGTCTGTGGGAATCGACACGAAAAGTTAAGTCGGTTCTCTTTCATTTTTTCACCTCCGTCGTGGATCTGCAAAACCCACACAGAGACACAGACACATAGCTCTCTCTCTCTGCAACTTCCAATTTACAGAGCTGTTGCCATTTTTTCAGTCTATGATATGAACCACTGCTATGCCCATAACGGTGGATACCACCATAATAGCCCACAAAGCCTCATATTGGTCCTCTTCCAAGTCCAAACTCTGGAAGTACAACGTATTCTTGAACTTCAGGGGTGAAGACACGTGCTAGAGCTTCACGAGCTACCTCCATGCAGCATTAAAAGCCAAAAGTTCTATCATTGTCTTCTGAATGAGATATGTGGATTCGAGTTGGTGTCTTGACGAGCTGGTGAAGACCAGAAAGGGATGAGACAAACTGAGCGTCGACCTCAGTCGCAGGCTGGCCATGGCTTCCGGTCGACATTCTAGGTTTGATACTAGAAAAGTTGAGACCCATATTTATCTCGTTGATCTCTCCCTCTCTCCCCACGACGCCTGCACTTTCCTCAAATTCAACACCCAGAGCGACACCTACACATCCTGTCGCCTGGCTCACCCCTTCGGATTCCTTATAGGAACCTGCAGACAGTGATCGTGAAGGTGGTGGGGTCGGGCAGTAACACCGACAAAATCAAACCCAGAAAATCACTCACCACAACCCAATCCAAAGGCACCGACGACGCCCCCGACTGCCTCATCTCCGCCGTCTGCTACTTCTACCCCTCATTCGACGGCAACCAGTCCGGCGCCGGAAACAACTAGAGTTTCAAACAAAATGCGTGAGATTCTCCGATCTGATTCCGTTACGATCCGCTGTAGTTTCAACCAAACAATCGCTATAGTAGTCGGCGCTTTAGCTCCCGGCGTTAACGGTCCTACATGGACAATGCTGACATTTGCATCTGTGATGTTGGGTGTGTACCTTGCTGTGATGCTGGGTTTGGCGTTCTCTTCCAGTGACTCTTGGTTGGTATTTCACGCTACGTTCCTTGTTTTCAAAGGCCAAAAGGTTCGGCTACAAAGAACCCTCGAAAAGCTCGAGTCTTTGTCTTCAAAGGCCAATTCCAACGCCTCTGTCACCGTCGCAGACTTCATCCTTGTTAACTACGAAGACGGCCTTCTTAAGGGACATAGGACCTCTGAGGTCAATGGGGAAGTTGTCGCAATGGTTTGCGAGATCGACGAGAGAGTCAATAAGCTAGTTTATATGCGGTCTTTAAGGGCCAGGTACAAACCAGAGGTTGGAGATATCATAGTGGGGCGTGTAATTGAGGTTGCTCCGAAACATTGGAGAGTGGAGATAAACTATAGCTATGATGCAGTGTTGATGCTTTCTGCAATGAACTTACACGACGGCATCCAAAGACGTCGCATGAACTATCAACTTAGACGATTGAGAGCTGAAAATGCTAAAGCAGGGGATTTCCCATCACATGTACAGCAAAAAAGCAACGGCTCAGCCCAATACAGTGTTTACTCACCGCCCTAAAACTGTCATTATTTTAATCTGGTGAGTCTGAAGGGTTTAATCAACCACCCACATGGATGGCTTTAATCAACCACCCACATGGAAAAGCTAGTTATGGGTGTGTTTTCCGTAAAGCAAGCATGCAAAATTTGTTGTTGATGAACAAAACCGGAGGTCTTGGAACAACGTAAATTCGACCGTGAATCTACAAGAAATGTAAATAACACAAGATGTATCGTGGTTCACCCCAAGGTTTAGGCTACGTCCACACTGATTATGCATTTATTTGAGGGAGAGAGAGCTCTGAGAGTGAGAGCTTTGAGAGGGGGTGAGAGGGCCTAGGAATTGGCCTCCTTTAATTGTGAGGGTAATGGGTCCTTTTATAGAATAATGACTCTTTACTTATTACATATTTGCCCCTTCTTTTATCACATAATAACATTTAAGTCCCCCGAGTATTTGTACGAGATCTAAATACGAGGCCCTAAATATGGTATAAACAGTAGTCCCCCAAGTCTTCAGTTTAGAAAGTCTTTTGGCTTGAGACTTGAAATTCAGTCAATGTGTGGACCGAAGTAACTAGATGTTGTCTTGAACTGATGTTCGATATAAGGCGGTGCTCAATCTGAAATGATGCTCAACTAGAAGTAGCACATGCTACGAGGCTGCTCTGCTCGTGGCTTATGTTGCCTTGGTTGGCTCAGCTTGTGGGGTTGAAGGTAAGGGAGTCCCTTTTATAGAATAAGGGCTCGCTCCTCAATACATAAATATGGGTTAGAGTTGATGCTCACGGCGAGGCGGTTGTTCAGTAGGCGGTGATGCTCTCTAATAATGGTGAGGGAGTCCCTTTTATAGAATAAGGGCTCGTTCCTCAATACATAAGTGATGGGTTATAAGTGATGCTCGCGGCGAAACGGTTGCTCAGCTGGCGACGTTGCTCTCTAATGAAGGTGAATGAGTCCCTTTTATAAAATAAGGGCTCATTCTTAAGTACTTGAATAATGGGTGCTCTCTGATGAAAGTGAGGAAGTCCCTTTTATAGAATAAGGGCTCGCTCCTAAATACATAAATAATGGGCTAAGTACCCCAAGTATTTTTCATGAGGCCCAGTTGAGGCCCAATATATGGTACATAATGTAGTCCCCCAAGTCTTCGGTCAATAGAGTCTGTTGGCTGGAGACTTCAAATTGAATCCATGTATAGGCCGAAGTGGCGGTTGTTCGAAGACGGTATTTATACCCTGCACTGAAGCTTTGTAGGTGAAGCTTTACAAGTGAAGCTTTGAAGCTAGAGCTCTATAAATGAAGCTTTCGAAGCTGGAGCTCTGTAAATGAAGTTTTTGAAGCTAGAGCTTTTGTAAATGAAACTTTTGAAACTAGAGCTTTTGTAAATGAAGCTTTTGAAGCTGATTGACATGAGTGATGCTCATGAATGTTTATGTTGATTGACATGAGTGATGCTCATAGATGTTGACATGAGTGATGCTCATGAATGTTGACATGAGTGATGCTCATGAATGTTTATGTATGATTGACATGAGTAATGCTCATGTATGATTTGAAGTACTGGGCGTACTTTTGATCACCTGGTTGGTGGCATGAAGGAGAGTACGGGTTGTACATTTCATCACCTGGTTGGTGGCATGAATGGCTAGTTGCCAAATGATATTAGAGTACGGGTTGTACATTTCATCACCTGGTTGGTGGTAATAGCGGCAGGTTGCCGAATAATTTTGGAGTACTGGGCGTACTTTTGATCACCTGGTTGGTGGTAATAGCGACAGGTTGCCGAATAATTGTGAAGTAGTGGGCATACTTTTGGTCACTTGGTTGGTGATAATAGAGGGTCTGGCTCTTTTGGGCATATGGGCATTCGCCCTCCACATGACATTGCAGCCCATTATTTTGGGCTTGCCATTTTTTATTTTTTTTATTTTTTTTATTTTTTATTATTACCCTCTGATGGCGTTTATACAGATGTCTCCGAAAGATAAGAAAAATAATTTACATCATTCAAAAATAAGAAAAATAAATCCCATCATTATGGTGGGGTGTTTATTCCTCTCTTTTGCTTTCTCTTTTTCTCTTTTCCCTTTGCTTTCCACTGCGTCTCTGTCTCTGTCTCTTGGCGAAATTGGAAGGCTAACTCCACTTGCTTTTCTTGGACAGCCTGGTCGTGCCCATCCATTCTCACTCCTTTTTTTTCTTTTTCTTTTTCTTTTCTGTTCCCATTGCTTTTCTCTTTTACTTTTGTTTCTCTTTCTTTTGACAAGCTGATGGACGGACAGGATGGCATGGGCTTGGTCTGTGTTTGAGCCGTCATAGTTTCACTTCGGCAGTTCTGATAGGTCTATTACTACTTTAGGCTAGCTAGCCTGTGCAGCGAGGATCATATCCATAAGATCCAGGTTTGGTTTAGAGCAGGTCCTCATGAAGTAACCTTTCTCTTCTTCGGACAGTTTATTGACGGTTGCTGCAGTATCTCAGTAGGACTTAAACTGAATTAGGGGTTAGACAGAGAGGAGGAAGACGATGACGAACTCTAACTCGATGACTCTGTGAGCGACGGCGAGCCAAGTGACCAGACTCGGCTGTCGGTTCTGGTTCGGCCAGCAAGTCGGCGAGGCTTCCCATGGGTTTCTGATGGTAGAGAACAAACTTGATCCTCTTAGCATATAAATATGCAGCAACGGGCACAAGATACTCGTACTTCTGACTCACCCTAGCCAAGTGCTCGATTTTCTTCCCAAACTCACACCTTCCGGAGTTCACTTGCCTAAACCTTTTCACAACCCAAACCATACTTCCCAATAACACCACCTTCTCAGTCATCGCCAGCCTACTCTCTCCGATCACACCCACTGAACCCTTCAACACACCCCTTAGTGTCATGTGGGCTAGCTCTTCCCCGCACCCCAAACACTTCTTGTCATGGCCGCAATGGACAAGTTGAAGGTCATCCATGAAGCCAACGATGCAGTCTTCATAGTCGACGAATGAGCTGACGCAGCTGGTTAGGTGTTCGTTTTTTGGGCTTCTTCTGAGTTTGTAAGGCGACGCTATCATCGACGAGAAATTTACAGAGCAGGTCTAAGACTTGCCGCTGAGACCGATGCGGATGTTGGGTGCGATTAGAAAGAGGAAAGCCGGCGGAGGAGAGAGAGGCTTTGGGTGGAGGCAAACAAAGCGGCAGAGAGAGGAGGAGGATGAGAATGTGGCTCCGTGGGTTGGGTGGAATCTGTCTTGCAGTTGCAGAGAGAGACTGAGTGAGAGAGGAGGTGGCTTCGTGGGTTTTCTGGAAAAGTTTTGGGTTCTTAGGTTTCTGCAGATTCACGGTGGAGGTGAAAAATGAAAAAGAATCGACACAACTTTTCGAATCGATTCCTACAGACAGCGCCAAATGTTGATGCACAAAGCCAGAGGTCTTGGAACAACGTAAATCCGACCGTGAATCTGCAAGAAATGTAAATAACACAAGATGTATCGTGGTTCACCCCAAGGTTTGGGCTACGTCCACACTGATTATGTATTTATTTGAGGGAGAGAGAGAGCTCTAAGAGTGAGAGCTTTAAGAGGGGGTGAGAGGGCCTAGGAATTGGCCTCCTCTAATTGTGAGGGTGAGAGGTCCTTTTATAGAATAAGGACTCCTCACTTATTACATAATTACATTTAAGTCCCCCGAGTATTTGTACGAGATCTAAATACGAGGCCCTAAATATGGTATAAACATCTGCAAATGAGCATGCTTTGAAAAAGTGTACCAGAAGATGCTTGGTGAGACTTTCATCATCACAGCCTCAGCCTGATAATAATGGAGAAATGGCTTTTCTATAAAAACCACGAGAAAAGCCACAAGCAAAAAAAAAGTGTCGACCACCAAAGAAGATGCCCACAAATTCATCATGCAGGTTCCCATTTTCTTATAAAAAAAAGAAGTAAAAGCAAAAGCAGCAAGCAAAAGAGGATAAAAAGAAGCAGACATAATTGCATTGGTGATGGCATGCAGAAAAGGGAATTATAGGCGTGACCCATTGAGCAAAGGGTCGGATTTATTTTTGAATGATGTAATTTATTTTTCGTATCTTTCGGAGATATCTGTATAACCCCATCAGAGGGTAATTAAAAAAAACGGCAAGCCCAAAGTAATGGGCTAGAATGTTATGTGGAGGGCGAAGGCCCATATGCCTAAAAGAGCTAGGCCTTCTATTACCACCAACCAGGTGATCAAAAGTACGTCTAGTGCTACAAAAAATTATTCGGCAGCCTGCCTCTATTACCACCAACCATGTGATCAAAAGTACGTCCAGTGCTAAAAAAAATTACTCGACAACCTGCCGCTATTACCACCAACCAAGTGATCAAAAGTAGTCCCAATACTCCAAAATTATTCGGCTGACTGCCGCTATTATCACCAACCAGGTGATCAAAAGTACGCCCAATACTCCAAAATTATTCGGCAACCTACCGCTATTATCACCCACTAAATGATCAAAAGTACGTCCAATACTCCAAAATTATACATGAACATCACTCATGTCAATCATACATAAACATTCATGAGCATCACTTACATGAACATCACTCATGTCAATCATACATAAACATTCATGAGCATCACTCATATCAATCATACATAAACATTCATGAGCATCACGCATGTCAACATCCATGAGCATTACTCATGTCAACATCCATGAGCATCACTCATGTCAATCAACATAAACAGTCATGAGCATCACTCATGTTAATTAGCTTCGAAAGCTTCATTTACAGAGCTCCAGCTTCAAAGCTTCATTTATAGAGCTCTAGCTTCGAAAGTTTCATTTATAGAGCTCCAGCTTCAAAGCTTCATTTACAAAAGCTCAAGCTTCAAAGCTTCACTTTCAAAGCTTCACCTACAAAGCTTCAGTGCATGGTACACAAATACCGCCTCCGAACAACCGCCACTTCGGCCCATACATGGATTCAATTTGAAGTCTCTAGCCAACAGACTCTATTGACTGAAGACATGGGAGACTACACTATGTACCATATATTAGGCCTCATAAAAAAATACTTGGGGGACTTAGCCCATTATTTATGTATTGAGGAGCGAACCCTTATTTTATAAAAGGGACTTCCTCATTTTCATTAGAGAGCACCCATTATTCATGTACTGAGGAGCGAGCCCTTATTTTATAAAAGGGACTCCCTCACCTTCATTAGAGAGCATCACCGCCAGCTGAGCAACCGCCTCGCCGCGAGCATCACTCCTAACCCATCACTTATGTATTGAAGAGCGAGCCCTTATTCTATAAAAGGGACTCCCTCACCTTCAACGCCATAAGTCGAGCCAACCAAGGCAACATAAGCCATAAGCCAAGTAGCCTCGCAACATGTACTACTTCTAGTTTAGCATCATTTCAGATTGAGCACTGCCTCATATCGAGTGTCAGTCCTAGACGACATCTAGTTACTTCAGCCCACACATGGACTGAGTTTCAAGTCTCCAGCCAAAAGACTCTCTTGACTGAAGACTTGGGGGACTACTGTTTGTACCATACTTAAGGCCTCTGTATTTAGATCTCGTATAAATACTCAGGGGACTCAAATGTAATTATGTAATAAAGGAAGGGGAAAATATGTAATAAGTGAGGAGCCCTTATTCTATAAAAGGACTCCTCACTCTCCTCATTTGGAAGAGGCTAATTCTTAGGCCTGGCCCCTCACCCTCTTAAAGCCTCTTATACTCTGAGATTCAGAGCTCTCATCCTCACAGAGAAGCTCTCTCTATCTTCTTCAACATCTCAGAGAAATACAATATCAGTGTGGACGTAGCCCAAACATTGGGGTGAACCACGATACATCTTGTATTCTTTACTTTCTTGCAGATTCACGGTCGGATTTACGTTGTTCCAAGACCCCTCCGGTTTTGTGCATCAACATTTCCGTATTTAGATCTCGTATAAATACTCGGTGGACTCAAATGTAATTATGTAATAAAGGAATGGGCAAATATGTAATAAGTGAGGAGCCCTTATTCTATAAAAAGACCCCTCACTCTCCTCATTAAGGGAGGCCAATTCTTAGACCATAGGAAATGACTCATCCTCACAATCAGATGAAGCCTCACTCCCATAGTCAGAGCCTCACTCTCCTATTCAGAGGCTCTCTCATCCTCTCTCGCCCTCACAAAGAAATACAATATCAGTGTGGACGTAGCCCAAACATTGGGGTGAACCACGATACATCTTGTGTTCTTTACTTTCTTGCAGATTCACGGTGGGATTTACGTTGTTCCAAGACCCCTCCGGTTTTGTGCATCAACACAACTATTTATCTTAACAAACTCCGACCTTGAACGTCTAACAAATATGTTGACTTATTCAATGTTTGTGATTGATTAAATATTCTTCGGGTTCACAACCCTCATCGTCAATTAGTTTTTGGATGAAGCCTCAACTTTTTTCACAATATCATTGTAGGTTTGTCCACATGTGATGAAGCCTTCGCCAAGCTTAAATTGTCCACAAGATTCACGTAAAAAAATGTTATCATGAAAAAAATGGGATCCAATTTTATAGTAGTATCAAATGAGAATAAAATGATTAGCCAATTGTAAAATTTAACTCACTCCGTCACTTTTTAACGTAGATAATAAATATTGAAGACCTTAAAAAAATGAGAATCAAATCAGATACCTTTTACATTAACAAATTAACAAACAACAAACTTTATATGGGCTTAGATTACTCAACCTAGTTTTAATTAGTTTTAAAAATGAACTCTTAACTTACTTTAATTGTGAACTAAAATAAACTAAGCGAACCGATTAGATAAAACAAAAGTATCTGGTTGGCCCCTAAGTAAAGAAATATTTGACCTATCATTCGTCTACTAATATCTTTTTTATGTAGTAGGTTAAGGTACTAAATAAAATACTTATTGTGGAGCCAAAACTAATCACAAGGCGACATGTGGATTTTTAGAAAAAAGAGGACAAAAATACCCTCAGTACAACGGGATTCCTATGCGCGAGTAGCGGGCAATCATCCTTCAACCAAATCAAAAGTGCCCAAAATAGGTAACAAATTCAAAGTTATTTCATCCATCCTCATCGTATATTTTCCACAAGGTAATTATTTCATAACCTTCAAAACATCCCATATAAATTACATAACCCCCAAAATATTTATTCCAAAAATGTGTTGATTAACCAATTAATGGATTAATTGCCTAATTAATTCATTAAATCACACATTAAACCATAAGTTACATCCTATCCCTATAAATAGGCTCCCATTTTCACCAAAAGATCATTCCAACACACTTGCAAAATTTCCAATACTCTCCAAACACTTTTATCTTTAAATTCTAACTTTGGCATCGGAGGTTCTTCAGCCAAAGCCCCATCATTCATCATGGGCACGTGAGGCTCTTGGCCTTGACCCTAAGGTGTTAATTGTTTTGTAGGTGCAATTTTGTCCAAGATCAAGGAGGAAGAAATTTGCATCCACAAATTGGTGCTTTCATTGAGAGAAAAAATCCACACTCGTAGAAGACTCGCATAAAAAAGGTTTTTCTCTATTCTCTAGTCTACTTGTATTTTTTCGTATGTTCTTATTATTAGAATTTTTTATTTGCAAAGATTCTTTAATAAAACGTAAAAGAAGAATACAATGGCTAGAAAATTAAAAAATTCCACAAGTGAAAATTTCAATATTCAAGAAATTGGACCAACATAAGCGATTGCACAATTTTCAACGCAACGAGATCACCGACGAGGCACTACGACGGAACATGACCAACATAAGCAGGTCACCCTTCACGGACGATATCTAGCAGGTAGAGCCTCCACGCGAGTTCAGCATGCCACATTTCACATCTTTCAAAGGGGATGAAGACCTAGAGAGACACCTAAAGCATTACCGAAGTGCAATGATCCTCTATTGAAACAACGATGATCTCATGTGTAAGATATTCACCACCATTCTACAATGCGAGACGCAAGATTGGTTCTACACCCTGCCGCCATAATCCATCCGGAATTTCAACAAACTTTCTTTGGTTTTCACCAAAGAATATTC